TGATACAGGGGTATTGCAAAAATCAAATGAGGTCAAGAATATAAAAAACTCTGGTTTAAAAACCACATCTTACTGGCCCAAAACACCCACTTAATCCATCATTCACCTTGAATAAAAGAATTAAAATATTATTCAGGGTCTAAACTTAGTTTCGCACAACAAAACGTCTTAGAAATGACAGAATCATCATCAGTGATATAAACTAAAAAAAAAAAAAAAAAAAAAAAAAAAATTTTTTTTTTTTTTTCCCTTGTTGAAAAAACGTTTGGTTGGGGGGAAATATCCCCCCTCTAGAAAAAAAAAAATTTTTTTTTTTTTTTCCCTTGTTGAAAAAACGTTTGGTTGGGGGGAAATATCCCCCCTCTAGAAAAAAAAAAATTTTTTTTTTTTTTTCCCTTGTTGAAAAAACGTTTGGGTGGGGGGGAAAATTCCCCCCTTTAAAAAAAAAAAAACAACAAAGAAAAAAAAAAAAAAAAAAAAAAAAAAAAAAAAAAACATTTTTTTTCTTCTAGATGGAGGATATTTCCCCTCAACCTAACGATTTTTCAACAAGAGGAAAAAAATGATATGGCGCAGAAATGTTTTTAAGTAACTTATTTCAAGGAACTAATTATTCATTCATTTATTTAACCATCCTTTGGGACAATCTGCAATCTACTCTGAGAAGAAATGTGTAGAAAACAGACCTAACGTTTTGTTGTTGTTCAATTATTAGGATACTCAATGTTTGAGCTCACATAAGTATCCCTCAGGGAAATGCTCTGCGTGCCACTAGCACTATTCTTAATGAGGAAAAGCACAAAACTCCTTTAGTTCAATGCCAGAATTGTTTTATCTTCAAGTCAAAAGAACAGCTATTTGGAGTAACACCAAAACAAGCATTTAACAATTACAAGCAGCAAGCTATTCACAAGCATCATATTGTTAACGCTACTCTAATTATAAAATTATAAATAACCTTATTTTATCAAATAAAATATGTCAGCAAATTTTTAAGCCCCAGATACCTCTTTATTTGACTGCTTTATTCTTTAAGTTTAAGGAAAAACATTGTATTGCTTCAATTCAAAAAACCTCATTTTAAAAACATCTTACAGGAAAGTGAGATATAGAGAATCCTTAATTTTTAAAATCCATAAGTAGGTAATCTTCAAAGAAAACTTGCAAATCATAAACAAAGGCCTAAAACAGACTATGGTTCTTATAATAATCCTCAGTGGCACAGGGAAGTGAGAAATCTGAGGAAAGACTGCTCTCATTTTATTAACGTGCTATTTAAACTTTCCAACATTGTAGTGCTTCCTTCCTGACTTAGGAAACGCTCTACTGACTCAATGTCTCTTTTAGCTTTTTTCTCCTCCATTTCTGTTATGTTCTGAAAGACAACATACAAATTTCTAGGGTTTTTTTGGTATCTATTATCTATATGATCCTCACCCTTATTTAAACTCTTTCCTTATACTTTACTGATTGATGAATTCAGGACATACAAAACAGTGCTAGTGGGCCAAATACAGCAAATCTAGGATATTCCACTAGACATGTGGGGAACTTCAAGTTGTCAGAATTGATAGAGCTTAACCTATGAACCAATAAGAAATTGAGATGTTTAAACATGGAAAGTATGAGATCACTTTTCATATGTGAAACAGCAACACCGTGAAGAAATTATACAAGTTTTTACAAAAATACAAATGTTTTAAGCATAGATTAAAGTTAAAAGTGAGGATTATGGTCCGACCCCGTGGCTCACTCGGGAGAGTGTGGCACTGGGAGTGCAGCGGCGCTCCCGCCACGGGTTCGGATCCTATATAGGGATGGCTGCTGCGCTCACTGGCTGAGTGTGGTGCGAGTGACACCAAGCCAAGGGTTGCAATCTCCATCCCGGTGACCCAAAAAAAAAAGTGAGGATTACTGTGTCAGCTTTTATTATATTTATTACCTAGCCATAAATTTTTACAAGATAGGCTTACTGCATGATGTGACAGAAAAAAATGATAAGGACTATGGAAGTTTTTCAAACTCTTGCTTTACTCATTCAAGTTAATAGGCAACTTAAGAGAGGCTGTAGAATGGGATTTCTTTTTACTTTAATGCAGTAAAACATTTAGACTGTACTGCTTCTTCAGACTGAGGACTTTCTACGAACCCAACTTGCTCCATGACCACCAACTCCTCACCCAGTAATCCTCATGATTATATGCGCATACCCAATTTACGTAGAGCAGAACCACTCTGTCTGAACTATCTTCCTGCTATGATCCACTCTAGTATGGTCACAGCTACTGCTCCAGCTGTAGGGGAGGGAGCAACAGCTGTAATTCCCTGAGTTCCCTTATGTCGGTACAGTGTTCACGCGCAGACAACTGATAAACACCACTGCTCCTGATCGCTATCCCTCAAAAGATCTACAGCATACCTGAGGCCTGGAGATGGCACTTTTGGATTCCAACCAACCCTAAGAACCACAGTTCCAGTTCACCTCCTCCTGTCACACCTCCTCTACAAGAGGAATATAAAAAGCTCAGGAGATCAAACAGAATAAGGTGGATGCCACTAACATTATCTGACCTGCAACCAACAAGGAATGACAGAGTACCCAAGAGGAACCTCACCAAAAGAGCCATGACAGAGAGTATGACCCTATGAATGGCATGGCCCACATCTGTACCAAAGCACTGCCAGGAAGAGAATTGCTATTGATGTGATCTCCTAATACAAGGAACCACTCTGGAAAAAGGAGCTAAGAACCCAGCAGTCAACACTAACTTTTCTTTCTTAAAAAAAAAAAAAAAAAGAGTTATAACTTATATATGGTAAAGTGCAGAAATCTTCAGTGTACAGCTCAATGAATTTTTACAAATGTTCACCTATGTAATACCCCCAGATCAAAACATAAAGCATTTCTGTCATCTGAGAAGGTTCCTTCTTGCCTCTAGTCAAGAACCCCTGCCCCCAAACTCCACTTCCAGGTAACCACTATCCTCCCTTTTATCTCCCCGGACTAGTTTTGTCTGTTCTTGAACTTCACATAAACAGAATTTTAAAGTAGGTACTCTTTTATGGCTGCTTATTTTGCCCAACATGTCTGTGAGATTCACATTCACTGCTGCATATGTTTACTGTTTTTTGTTGCTGTGCAGTATTACATTGTACAACTGTACCACAATTTATCCACTCTCCTGGATGGAGATTTGGGTCATTTTTAGTTTTAGGCTATTATGAGTATAGCTGCTATAAACTTTCTTGAACATGTCTTTTGGTGGCATAAGCTTCACTTCTGTTGTCTACATACCTAGAAGTGGAGCTGCCAGGTCACACCCGGTTACAAGCACATGTTTAACTAAAGCAGATATTGCCAACTAGCTTTTTAAAGTAGTTTTGTCAGTCTGTATAAGTTAGCCATGTTGGTGGCCAAATGGTATCTAAATGTGTTTTGGGGTATTTTTTACTCTAAGTTTGTTTATTTTTTATTGAAACATAATTGACTGTACATATCTATGGAATACAGCATTGACTATCAATACCTGTGTGCAATGTGATGCTCAAATCAGGATAATTAGTATATTCAACATTACACAGTGGAATCGTTTTTGTGGCCCTAACTGTGGTTTTACTTTGCATAAGTCTGGTGAATAATGATGCTAAGCACCTTTTCATATGTTCACTAGCCATGTGGATGTTCTCTTTTTTTGAGGCCCCTGTTAAGTTTTCTGCTCATTTTCAAAATTACTTGTCCTTTTGTTGATTTGTAGGAATTCTTTACCCAACATATGTATTTGTCTTATCTCACACTTCAGCTTGCCTTTCCACTTCCTAAATGATCTCTTTTGGTAAAAGAATTTCTTAATTTTAATGCAAATCAACTGATCACTTTTTCCTTAACAATTAATGCTGTTTTGGTGCCATTTTAAAGAAATCTTCTCTACCACAATGTCATGAAGATATTCTCATATATTTTCCTCTAGAAGCTTGATTTAGCTTCCACCTTACCCATCTTACCATCAATACCTCCGATATCTTCCTCTCTGGCCAAATTTGTCATACTTGAGGTTGTGACTCTTTGATGTCACAAACTGAATTCATTAAATCATGTTTATTATGTGCAATTATTTAAAAACCAAATAAATCCCTGATACTAGGTAATAAGTTATCATGATGGGACTACATCTCCTTTGGGAATATGCTATGACACCTCATAGAACTATCTGAGTTTTCACTTGTCTCCAATCACGCATCACCAGCTTTAACTGGCATATGCAGGTACCTTCTCTTACATATTAAAAGACATTTCAATATTTCTGAAAGATAAGTGCTGAAATTATAAATGCTTAGACTACAACAGGACATACATATATGGAGCAGATACCAATGAACTCATTTCCCACTCTTTACGCAAATCTTAGGATGTATCTGAATTATGTAGTTATCTCGCCTGTCAAGCTCATATTAGGAAAGGAATGAAGAAAAGAGAACAAAACACTTTACACATTTATTCAACTAATTTGAAAACAGTGGTAACCATGAAGATCCAGTACTTTCTGAACATTTTTAAATGAATATTTAAAATGTGTACTATCCTAAGATTTCAAGACAGGGAGTCACACTCTGAGATGTTTGGGTTCATGTGGCTAAGTGATACCTTCTCTTTCATGAATCTACCAAAACAGAAACTTAGAGCCACTAGTGAGACTTACCTGTAGCTGGAAATGAGATGTACCCTGTCTGAATACACATTCAAGAATAAAGTTCATTCTATTGACTCTGTATTCTCAATGACTTTATTAAAATCAGTCAATGACTATTACCAACACTGCTGTAAAAATAAAGCCAATTGAATGTTTTTGGATTGCCTTTACATTACTACTCACAAGTCCCAGGTTTTTAAAAGTCAATAATATTATTTCACCAGGTATTAATTAAAATTCACACAGCTCACACATAAATCATACAGCACACTTTTTTAAAAAATGTTACCACTGAAAGAAATCTAGACTCACCTATAGTGATCGCTCGATGGAACTGATGCATGTCTTCTCCTGACAGCTCTTGGGCTACCTGTAATATCTTTTGTCTGACACCATCCAATTTAATTTCCGATTCAGTCAATATTTCTTCCAAATCAGGAGCACTATAATCAAGATAGTGAGAACTTTTAGAATATCGGCCAGATGCTTTGATAGTGAAAAACTGAAATAATGTAAATATTAATTAACACAGGACTAAATAAATATTTGTATGTATTTGAATACTTCTAACTCAAATCTATAATTATATTGTTAATAATATGTAAAAAAAAATGAAAAATGCTATAATACACTATTAAGTGAAAAGAGAAGTATAAAAATTATATGTATAACGTGATTGTAACAATAAGAAAAATTCTGTTCATGGGGCCAGCCTGTGGCTCACTCGGGAGAGTGTGGTGCTGATAACACCAAGGCCACGGGTTCGGATCCCATATAGGGATGGCCGGTTCGCTCACTGGCTTAGCGTGGTGCTGACAACCCCCCCCCAAGGGTTAAGATCCCCTTACCGGTCATCTTTAAAAAAAAAAAAAGAAAGAAAAATTCTGTTCATGGGGCCAGCCTGGGGCTCACTCGGGAGAGTGTGGTGCTGATAACACCAAGGCCACGGGTTCGGATCCCATATAGGGATGGCCGGTTCGCTCACTGGCTTAGCGTGGTGCTGACAACCCCCCCCCAAGGGTTAAGATCCCCTTACCGGTCATCTTTAAAAAAAAAAAAAAAGAAAGAAAAATTCTGTTCATGAAAATGTGACATCTGTAATGTCTGCTTTCAGGCAGGATACATCAACTAGATTTATCCTCCCACCTTAAACAACTAAAAAGAAAAACTAAACATACAAAACAATGCTTTCAGACCTTAGACTACAGGCAGCATGGGACAATGATCCCCTGGTGTGGAGGGAGATACGACTACGCCCTATAACTCTCCCACCTAATTGCCTGGAGAGTTTCCAAGTGACAGTGCAGGGACAAGAAACTTAGAACCCAGGAGTCCCCCTGAGTAGAAAAGAAGTTGAGATTTTAAGGGACACCCAAGACAGCTAACATTTGCAGGGCAGAGTAAAGACGAGGAGAAAGCTAAACAAAGAGAGACAGCTTCAGAGACCTATGGAAGGAACCTCAAGTCTTTAGCTGAGTACTGATCACAGCAGGCATGTGAGGGAACTACACAGTGCTGGAAAAAGAACCACCCAAAGTGAGCAGGCAGAACAATTCCCGTGTTATTTATAGAGCCAAAAAGAGCTAATTTATCACCAGCAGACTGACATTGCAAAAAATATTAAAGGAAGTTCTTTAGGAAAAAGGAAAATAATACCGGACAGAAATCTGGATCTATATACAAAGGAATGGACAACACCAGAAATGGTAACTATGCGAATAACACGCACTTTTTTCATGGTTTTTAAGTCATACTGAAGTAAAAATAATAATGTCTGGTGAGGACCGTAACAAATACAGAAGCAACGTGAATTACCACAGTAGTACAAAAGGCCAGGCTAGTAGAGGGCAAACGGAAAAGGAAGTATGTTAGAAGGTTTATACTACATCTGAAATGATATGCAAGTGGTCCTTACTTTTGCATGGTACTGTATTAACTGAAACTTGTGCATATCAACACTGTGGCCTCAATGTGAAAAGTAACTTATAGCACAGAACCATGCAAAACAAAGACATGGTTCTGATATGCACAAGTTTCAGTTAACACAGCATTGTGCAAGTATGAATGGTCAACAATGATGAGTGAAGATATATACTATAAACCATAAAACAACCACTACAATATCAAAACAAAAAGATATCGCTAATAAGCAGAGAAATAAGATAACACAAGATCATAAAAAATATTCAATTTAATTTAAGGCAAAAAAAAAAAAAAAAAGAGGAAAATGGGTGGGAGATTTAAATCCAAACATATCAATAATCACATTAAATGTAAATGGTCTGAACACCTCCAATAACAGGCAGAGATTATCAGAATGGATTAAAAAAAGCAAGAAAGATAAGAAATCCACTTTAAATATAGACACAAACAGATTAAAAATAAAAGGATGAATGATATATACCCTCCTAACACTAAACAAAAGAAAATAGGAGTAGCTATATTAACATCAAACTTCAGAGTAAAGACTATTTCCAGTTATACCATCATAATAAAGGATCAATTCATCAAGTGAACGTAATGATCCTAAATATTAATGCACCAAAGAGCTTCCAGATAGGGGCCGTCCCGTGGCTCACTCAGGAGAGTGCGGTTCTGATAACACCAAGGCCTCGGGTTCGGATCCCATATAGGGATGGCCGGTTCGCTCACTGGCTGAGCGTGGTGCTGGCAACACCAAGCTAAGGGTTAAGATCCCCTTACCGGTCATCTTTAAAAAAAAAAAAAAAAAAAAGAGCTTCCAGATACATAAAGCAAAAACTAACGAACTTCAAGGAAAAATAGACATTTCCACAACTACATTCCAGAGATTTCAATCCCTCCCTCTCAATAATTAATAGAACAAGTATACAGAAAATCAGTAAGGATGTAGATGACTTGAACAACGTTATCAACCAATTTTACTTAATTGGCATTTATAGGACACTACACCCAACAACAGCAGAATACATATCCTTTTCAAGTACGCACAGAGCATTTACCAGATAGACCATATTCTGGACCACAAGAAGTCTCAGTAAATTTAAAATGATTCAAATCATAAAAAGAATATTCTCTGACCACAATGGAATTAAATTAGAAATCAACATCAGAAAGACATCTGGAAAACCCACAAAATATGTGGAAACCAAATATCATACTTCTAAATAACCCATGAGCCAAAGATGAAATCAAAATGAAAATTAGAAAGTATTCTGAGCTAAATGAAAATGAAAAACATCAAAATCTGTGGGATGCACCTAAAGCAATACTTGGAGACTTGAAGGGAAATTTATAGCACTAAATGCCTACATTAAAAAAGATGAATGACCTTAGCTGCTTCACTGATCTCAGATTCCAACTTAAGAAAGAGGAACAAATTAACCCATAGTAAGCAGAAAAAAAAAATTATATAAATAAGAATAGAAATCAATGCAAAAGAAAACCCAAAAGTAATACAATCAATGAAACCAACAGTTCTTTGAGATCAATAAAATTGATAAACCACTAGCCATATAGAACAGGAAAAAGAGAAGACACAAATTACAACATCAGAAATGAGAGAAGGGACATCACTACAGATCCTATAGGCATTAAAAAGATAACAAAGAAATATTAGGAACAACTTTATGCCAATACATTTCAAATTTTAGAGGACATGGACAAATTCCTTGAAAGACATAAACTACCAATCTTCACTAAAGAAGAAAGAAATATCCATGCCTGTTAAACAAAATGAGTTTGTAGTTAAAGTATTAAATCTTCTTAATTAATAATAATAATCTTTCTGTACTGGGACTGGCTGATTTCTTTCATAAAGTATATTTACTATTCTGAAGTTTGTAATTTTAATGAAGTTTGTAATTTTTCTGAAGTTTACTCTTTTCTCAGTTTACTAATCAAAATTGTATATACAATATGGTCACAACTATGATAAAAAAATAGTGCATAAAATATGAAATCTGCTAAATGATAGTGGCTATCTTTGGATATTATGACTGACTAAATTCTTTCATTAAAATAGCTTTACTTTTCTTGTCACTTATTATTTTTCTACAGATCACTATTTAAGTTTATGTAATGAGAATCTATTATTTTTTGGTGAAGAAATACAAGATGACTTTACACAATAACATCACTTTTTTCTAAAATATTAAGTTCTCCTGTCACACTTCTATTATGTTCTTATTTCTTTAAACTGCTGAATACTGATGGCAATTGTTTTAGAATTGCAGTTGTTACTGAAAAAAAAGTGCCCATAATTAAACAGAACAGTGTTGTTTCTCTCTGTAATACAAGCTTATCTGTGTACAAGACTTCTAAGAATTAGTTAAGAAAACATGCAAAAATTAATTTTAGAAAGTGAGGTAAGAAAAAGAAAAGGTTAACAGTGCCATATTTCAATAACTATGTATAGCAAATTGACTTCTACTTAATAAAATAAAAATTAAAGCATTAAAGAATTATCTTAAAAGTTTTAAATTAGTGAATATAAGACTTCAACAACATTTTTAATAACAAAAAGCTAATAAATTATATTTGGTCTTTTCTTTTTTTTTTTTTTTTATAAAGATGATTGGTAAGGGGATCTTAACCCTTGACTTGGTGTTGTCAGCACCACGCTCACCCAGTGAGCCAACCGGCAATCCCTATATGGGATCCGAACTCGCAGCCTTGGTGTTATTAGCACCACACTCTCCCGAGTGAGCCATGGGCCGGCCCATATATTTGGTCTTTTCTAAATACTTTATTAGAGACATAGTGTAATGCCAATCATAGTCACCCTTCTAGAGGTATTTAGAATTTGTAACAAGAGGGCCGGCCCGTGGCTCACTCGGTAGAGTGCAGTGCTGATAACGCCAAGGCCATGGGTTCGGATCCCATATAGGGATGGCCGGTTCGCTCACTGGGTGAGCGTGGTGCTGACAACACCAAGTCAAGGGTTAAGATCCCCTTACCAGTCATCTTTTAAAAAAAAAAAGAATTTGTAACAAGAAATCTCTCTTTGGGAGTTGGGCCTAAAACACATAGGCTGAAGAGGTGTAGGACAGGCACTTTCTACCCCAGCATGGAACAAAGAAGCAAAGGAAGCTGGTCAAATGAAATATGAAGCTAACAGAGAAACAAAGATGAAAGACAGAGATACTCAGCTGCATTCATAGGATATTCCTGAATCTTTAAAATTTGTAATTTCCTTGGTTAGCTTAGGCAGTTTAAGCTGGTTTCTTTTACTTGTAACCAAGAAATCTATCAAATATACAAAGCCTGCCTAGGAAAGTAAGGTAAGTCCTAGAGAAAGAAAATGTCACAAAGCAGAAAGAAGAGAAGTTTTCAAAGAATAATTAAGTAGTCAACAGTATAATATGCTGCTGCAAAAATGTAAAATAAAACAGAAAAGGATGCACTAGATTTAACAATATGAAAGTAAAGGTGGGTAATTTCAATAATTGTGAGGGATAGCCCTATTGCAACGAGTTGAGAAATAAATGAGAAAATAAGAAGTATTTAACATTTATGTAATGTTAAAATTTTCATACCTACCATCCAAATAAAGCTTTAATAGGTTCTAATAAGCAATAAAAATGTAATATATTTTCACAAACAATAGCTATATTTTAATGATCTTAACAGAGCACAAAATCCCTAACTGCTCTGAAAATAAGAATTTTTTCCTTCCTATTTTTATTGAAATATTTATTCTTAAAATGTCTTTTGATCCCAATGTTCACAAACAAAAGTCACAGAATATCCTAACGGCTAGTTACCATGCATTGTGGTATGAAGCATAAAAAATATAAACTATATTGGGCCGGCCCGGTGGCGCACTGGATAGTGCGCCGCTTGGGAAGCGCGGCGGCGCTCCCGCCCAAGGGTTCGGATCCCACATACAGACCGGTTCCCGCTCACTGGCTGAGCGAGGCATGGGGGCGACGCTGAGGGTTGCAATCCCGTTGCCGGTCCCCGGCCCGGTGCGGGGGCAACACTGAGGGTTGC